GGGGGGGGGGGGGGGAAGGAGGTAAAATGTTTATTTTTAGCAAAACTGCTTTCTGATAATGGTATATGAAAAGTGAAAGGCTTTTGGGGTGGAGGTTAGGTATTGTTTTTTTTTGTTTTGTTTTTTTCTTGTGAACCAGACAAATGCAGACAGCAGAGAGAAGGAAGAGTACATACTGCAAATCAAATCTCTTACCTACAAAGATATTATGATGGAGAAAATGGCCCCTTAATTTAATTAGGCTCTCTTGTTATCAAATTATTACCCGCATGGTCAGCAAGGCCTTAGACAGAAGCAGAACATAATCAAGCTGCTCAGGAAGCCTGTTAAGTAGTAATTGCTCCTCCAGAGAATCGATCAACGTCAAGATGGCTTTTATTTTTTGCTGTTGTTGTTGAATAATTCCAGGAAGAGACTTTGTTTAGGTGGAGCATCCACATGGCTTGGTGGTGGTGCAGGCTACAGGCTGCAAAAAAATCTGCAGCAGTGTTGGTAAATTAAAGTTTACCAAGTGTCCAGAATAAACTGTTTTTGAAATAAGTTTCACCTCTAGTGTTACTAACAAACGCAGCCGCTGGTCCAAGTGAAAAGGTAAGCAAGCTGTTGAATTGGTGTTTTGTGTGCTCTCCTTTAGTCACTTCTGGTTTAGCTTTAAGTGTCACGAGCTCAGGTCACAGACTAGCCCAATCAGTGCTATTCACTGCAATTAGTTCAATTTTTAAGATTTAAAAAAAAAAATAAATCATCAGGGAATTGTGATAGTACAAAGACACTCAAGGCCAAGCCAAGGACACTCTGTAAGGACTGCACTGAATCACAGTTTCTTGGTTTAATTTTTGATCCAAAGCTACTTCAGTTTTCTTTTAAAATACTATGAAAATACCTACTTTACAGCAGAACTGCATAATTAACATAAAGCAAGACAATCTATGTTTTCTCTTTGCATCATTGCCAAAGTTGCATCATGTTTTGTTTCTGTAAGACGTCTGCAAGTTGCCTACCCACCTGAAATAGTCTCAAATGATTAAAAATATATTTTTCTTTAAAAGTCAAGAAATCTCATAGATATTTCTGATGTAGTATGTTAAATGGCAGAACAGAATGTAATTAGTGCAGAAGCTTAAAGAAAAGACATCCAAACATTTGTTAGAAAAGTAGTTTCAACTTCAGTAATTCAGTTATCTCTGGGCAGGGGGAGAAGGATACAGCTACCAGAGTGCAGGGTTTTATTTTATTTATTTTTGTATTCCAGAGAGAGAGAGAGTGAGCAAATTCTTTCACCAAAAGATTAAATACATTTTTATTTTATTCTGTTAAGCCAACTGGAGTTAAAGAGAGGGGCTCTGTGAAGGGGCTGATTTGGCAGAACTCAATCTTACAAAACAGACCAAAATCCAGTCATCACTTTAACAAGTTGGAAAAATTAAGGGGTTTTGGGGACATATGTATTATGCAGGATAATTAAGAAGCAAACATTTCTGCAACAGAATGATTTAAGGTGTGGGGTGGTTTGTGTTAGTTGTTTTTAACTAGCTGAATGAAATGCAGTGTGAAACAGTCCCCAGTGGTTGCACAAGGCATAAGGAAGGACCCCGGTCTGCCTTCCCAGCCTCTAGCAATGACCAAGGCTGAGTCTTCTGGAGCCAGAAGCTGCCTCTTGCACACACTAGCTCAGCAACACCACAGGCCCCGCCACCAAAACGGTGGAAAATTCCATTTTATAATTTTCAGCTCCACAACAGTTTGTGGCAGCAAGTACCGCAATTTATAAACCGAACGGGGCGGGTGTGTGTGGTGAAAAAAGTGTCTGTTTTAAACCTGCTGTTTACTGGCTCACTGATGCAGCTATCTTGGCCTGAGTCCCATGTGGGGAGTGGCTGTGTGTCTTCAAACACAGGCTTTTGCCACACTGATGTCATTCATAGCCCAGAGTTGCCTTCCAGAGTCCAGGGGCACAAACAAGCCACCTCACACCGGTCCCTTCAGTGGGCGACTGAAGTAAAAGGCTCAAGCATCTCCCTGGTCATGGGGTGCAGGGGGTTGTAGTCGGTGCTGTTGCTGCAGGAAGCCCAAGGGCTGCCGTGGCCAAAGCCTGCAGGACAGCAGGCAGGAGTGTGGCTTAACCCCAACAGCCAGGCTGCTACGGTACAGCACAGGCTGAGCAGGTCCTGCAGGTGGATGCCTAAGCGCCATAAAGTTTCTAAACCAGTGCAGTAAAAAAGGTACTGCTTCCCCTTTACAGCAGTTCTGTTTCCATTGGACAATCAGCTTCCAAGGATGTGAGAAAATTTAGGTACTGTTGATGTGAATGTGCTGAAGCTGGGGGACCACAAGTTTCTTGGCTTCCACCAGAACAAGCAGGAAACTGAACCCTGGGTGCAGCAGCAGTACAGATCTCCAACAGAAACAGAGCTGGTGCACTGATGGAATGTATTGGGCACCACAGAGAGAAAGACAGGCTGGGAATACTGGTGTGAAACCAGGAACGGAAAACATCCTGCCTCCCCAGCACCTTAGGAGGGGATAAAGAAGGAATCACATCTCCCACTGGAACTAAACCGAAAGAAAAAAAAAAAAGCAGCAATTTGCCAAATAGAAGGCCCACGCCAAATCCCCGCTCCCCCAGCGCTTGTTTGCCAGTTCAGGCCATGAGCAGGGATCTCTCCTCCTCCCACCGTTCGTGCCCTTCAGCACGGGTTGTCCACTAGGAAACTCTGCAAACAGTAGGAACACGAGTGCAGAGCGGGGTGAGGGTAGCTGCATCACGAACTGGTCTCAGGAGAGCTGCTCTCGCTGTCGCGTTTCCCGACGCGGACACAGCCGTGCCGCAAGACCAGAAGCTGATGTGCCCGTGTCGCACAGGGCCTCTCGCGTTGAGTCTCTCGCCGCAGACCCTAGAAAGGGGCGGGCTCCAGTTTTTCCATCAGGGATTTGATCCAACTTGTTCCGTTGATGAGTTTTGTAGTGGCAATGACGTACTCTGTGCCTCCATCTTCCATTTGGGACAGAAACCTCAGTGCAGCAATTTCTGCGTACGTTACACCTCCCAGGAAGAACACCAGCGTGACTCGGTTCTCACCGTGCTGACCTGTGTGTTCAGAGAAATTTACAGCTTGAAATAGTTTTATTTTTACATCTCCTAACCACCAACTGTCAGTCAAACTCAAAATGACCTAAAGCTAAAGTAAAGATAGCAGCTGAATTAGAGGAGCAACCAATTGGGTGGAACACCAGACTGAGGCCCAGAAATGCACTCCCAGCATCCTGGGAATCCCAGAAATCTACTCCCAGCTCTGGAGTCTCTCCACAGAATGTGCTTCTGCCTGCTCAGGCTTAATACTAGGAGAGAGATGCTGACTTTCTTTCTGGAGTAATGTTACTTACTAAAATCACAGTGTATGGTTAGGGTTTGTTTTAGTACTCTGATGAGAAGTTAAACAAACGTACAGGACTTCCAGTGCACTGGTGCTGGGCATTAATGGCAGGCTGAATGCGTGACTGGACATTTTAAAGAGGCCAGAAAGCTACTGGTCAGACGTGGGTTAGGTAGATCTGATACTGCAGCGGGACAGGGAGATGAGACGGATGCCTGGACTCTGCCAGCTCTGATTTCAGTTTGCCTCATTCCAGCCTAAGAGGTGCATCTCCTTTTTTTTTTTTTTTTTAAAAAAAAAAAAAGGAAAATGAAGGAAAACTTACGCTTTTTCTGAAGGCCAGTAGGTAACTGCTGCCTCTCCTCAAAATGGGGACCTGGCAGCATCTTTAGAACCTCCTCGATGCTCCGCCAGCCTGGCCGGGCCAGGAGCTGTGCCAGGCGTACGCTCAGCGGAGCGTAGCCGCTGTACACGTAGGAGATGTCGTTGGGGTTCTGCAGGAGAGAGCAGAGTGTGAGCAGCAGGTGAGTGCTACTTCATGCTGCAAAACAGCACCACAGAAAGAATTAAAACAAAATGATGAGGGTTTTTGGTCTGCACGTGATCCTGTATTGTTAGATGCAATGCTCACTGCCGAGGCATCTGTTTACCTGTTCGTTAACATCATCCATCCATAAGCGCAGGGTTTTCCTGATTGTTGGGTAGTTATTCCTACCACTTGTCTGAGGTTTCAGGAGTCCAGCCTTTTCTAAGTTGTTTAAGGTCAATATATGTTCATAGCCGTAAGTCTGCAATATGAAGAGTTCACCTTTAATACCATGTCAATAATCCATGACCAGAGTGTTAAAAAAAAAAAAAAAAAAAAGGGGGCAAAAGACGTTAGTTTTAAAAAGCTGGTTTTCTTTTAAGATCTCTTTCGAGTGTATCCCATTTAGTGTTTAAATCGTGGTAGCAAACAGTGCAATGATGTAAACCTCTCTGTACCTACACGTCGTAAAACACACACAAGCACCTCCTGAGTCACTGCTCGCAGCCCCAGCAGGAGCCTCAGTGCTCCATCTGTACACCCCGGGAGTCAGCACGACCCAGGTGTAAGAGGGGTCTGTCTAGAATTCAGGTGTGGTAGAGCTAAGGCTTTGATGTGGATTTTCTCAGAAAATTTACCAATCCAAAAGTTACAGCCCAACCTGGAGAATCTCTCTTTTGTAATGGTCCAGAACCTTCTGCTTCAGTCCACTATTGCACACAGATTGCAAGCAAACGAGACGCAAGATCTTGATTAATGGGTGTTTTTGAGCTATGCAGTCTTCAATGTAATTGTTCACCTATTAAAGAAAAAGACATAAACTGTTATTTAAAGATCTGTTAAAGTGCTTAGAAGACTTGGAAAAAAAGAGATCTAGTTTTGCCTGGTATCTCCCAAACAGCAAGAGAGAGGGTGCAGCTGCTCTCCAGGCAGCTCAAGACTGTCTGCAAATCAGGGATCCAGCACTGGTTCCACCTAGTGTCTTTCTAAAGCCTGTCGGTTCCACAGCCAAGAGCTGCTTTGTCTGACGCACTGAAAAAATTCTGATTAAGAGTCTTCAGTCTTCCACTGGTCCCTGTACAAGCCAAAGCACCCCAGCTGCACACCTCTGCGCTGCAGGCGGTGACAGAACCAGAGCCCAGCATCGTCCCCGAGCATGTTCAGCCATGCTAGATCATATCTAGATCAGATATCAAAAAATCCAAATGGCAAAAAAACCCAGAGAAATGTGGTTTTGTTTTGGTTTGGATTTTTTTAAGATATAAGAGTTACTAATTGTGATTATCTACTTACCTTGTCTGTGTCTATTCCAGACATGAACTCTTGTTCCACTGTTAAATTATCAAAGAAATCTTCGGATGCTTTGGGAAAAGAATGAAAATCAATACAACAGCAACCAAGAGCTTATTTCCTACATTTAACATTTCAGCAAGATGCGCTGGATGGAGCAAAGCCAATTTTTGCCAGGCTGAATGATGTCCCCCAAGTTGTCTCGCACCTTGTTACATTTAAATTAGTCAGGCTATCCAACGAGTACTCACTGGTGATGTCTTTGATGAGCTCTGCAATGGAGGTGTGGTTTGCTAGAGAACTTCGTGCTGCCTGCATGTGTGGCAACTGGGAGACAAACTGCTTAATCTCTCCGACGGTTTTCGCGTGGTGTCTTTCCTGCAGAAACCCGTCGCTTAGGTTAGGTCTTGCTCATGTTAATAACACCAACTACATCATTTTATCATGGATAAGTTTTTCACTGTACTCACTGCAAACAGCAGATACTGTTAGAGATAAGCAACCTTTTAGACAAAAGACTTTAAATGCTTATACTAAAAGTCACGGCATTACCTGTTAACAGCACTTTGGTCATTAGAAGAGGCAGGACATAACACAACAGGATCATAAGACTTCTTTTTTTTTTTTCCATTACACCAGTGTTGCAAAAACCACTTTTCTCCACCTTTGTCTGAACTCAGCCATCACTGTCTGCTCCCTATCAGCAAAACTACCTTTTTCATGAAGAATTACTTTACTAGCTGCCAGTAAACGTGGAGCTCTAGGCCAATGCAAGCAGAGAAGGGGGGACATTTCCCCTCAAAACAGTAGTGAAGGGTGTTGAGGAAGTGGGTTGGCAGGGTCTGTGCCGTTCACTGCACCTGGCTGTAACAACGTCCCGGGTTTGGAGCAAGGATCTGATGAAGCACAGCGCAGATTCGGCTCTCAGAGCCGTCCAGAGGTCTCCGTTTCATTTGTGCTACTTGCCTCTTGCTGCAACTTGGAATAATAATAGTGATGTTTTGACACATATGTGATGGATTTAAACGGGCAAGTGTAGGCAGGACAGTGATAATGACAAAGCCTGTAATTTAAGAAGTCCTTTGCTGCCAGTATGCTGCTGTTTCATTATCACCTATTACCTCTGACAATTTCTTAATTTATTTTTTTTTTTTAACAACCAGTATGAATAATCCATCTTTAGCACCTTCAGCACTAATATTGCAGTAATAGACATTTGTTAGGAAACGAGGCTCAGCACACAGGATTTCGGTTAAGGTACTGCTACCTCGTCTTAAATGTGGGGCAGAAGTGAAGAGGCAGAGAAAAAAAAAACAACGAAATACAATCAGACAGCGTAACAAGTTCTCTCAAGAATCACCATGAAGTCTGAAAGCAGAGATACGGGATCTCTGTTTCTTTATGAATCACCAACAAGATGCTGTCAAACAAAACCACAAACACCCCGCAGCACTCTCCAGCTTTGTCTAAAGTGACACGGTGAGAGTGAATTTACAGGTCAAACCTCCTGTAAGACAACTGTCTTTTTCACATTCCTTTTTTTTTTTTTTTTTTAATGCCAGCTGTGATACTCTTATGAGCGTACATTCTGGGGTTTTATTTCTTAAAGCCTTTTCTCTGCATCCTCAGTGAATACAAAGGGGAAAGGACCTTTCACTTAACAGGTGACAGCAAGTGGAGTTGATCAAAATGCTAAAATTAACCTCTGGCCTCCTGCAGAGGGAAGCAGCACCTGCCTGTTCTGCAGGCTGAAGAAAGTGACTCCTGTTACAGGAACGATGTGCTCACACAGCAGAAATGTGGCTTAGGCTTGTTCTGAGATGAGCTTGGAACAGTGAGGATAGGAAAAGCCCCAGAACAGAGGTGCAGGGAGAAGAGAGGATCCGCATTACTGCGGGATTCTTAAGAGGAGATTTGACCAACACCTACTCAGTCGAAATGGAGCTGATCTCATCCCAGGGCAGGGGGACAGGCTGGCGGGGTTCTGAAGACTACCTGTCTTTTTCCATATGGCAACAGCTCGAGCTGCCAGTCACAGCCCTGCTGAACGCAGACGGTGACTTATCTGACGACAGGAACACCCAAGGGCTGCACGGTCGGATACAGGCCTCACCTCAAAGGCTGCTGAGATGATCTTGGCTTTCTTGCTCAGCACTGACCCCACAGCATTGAAGTTCTTGTCTCGGATTTCAGCATACAGCTCTTCAGCAGAGTTCAGCTGGAGCTTCTTGGGTTCTGTGGGGAGATCTTTCCCACCCTCACCCTGCTTCTTCGGGGCAAACTTCTCGGGAGGAAGTTTCACATAAGCTACCAAATACAGAGAAATAACCCTTATAAAGACTGGATCTCCACCACCAGGCGTGGAAACACAACCCCTGAGCTAGAACCGTTCTGAGCCGCCAAGCTAATACAATCACCCCGACAACTCAGGCATATGTGTTAATTAAGGAGGGCCTCGGAGACCTACACAGACATACTTGATTCGAACCCAAGCACTAGCTCCCCCGCTGTCCAGGAGATTTGGGGGCAGCCTTCCAGCCAGTCTTTAGCACAAGGGACCAAAACCCATAAACACCTCTGGTGTTTCTTCTTATTATCTCCTGAAGATCAGGAGCACACCTTCCACAGACTGTTCCCGTCCCCTCAGCGTGGCACGTGAGACAGCCAGGCCAGAGGGTGAAGACATACCCTAAAATCTCTGCTCCCACCCTACGTGTCACTGCCTGCACCCAGCCAACATCCAAAACATGCCCGTCCAGTGCCCACGCGCTGTGCTCGGCTGCCCTGCGTAGGCAAAAGGAGAGCCAGAGTCCATCTGGATGGGCTCTAGCTTGGGACTGCATCATCCCCACATGGAGCTCAGGTGAGCTGCTCCCACATCACAGTCATTTAGTGAAGCAGAAACCCACCTGACACGCTGCAACCTGCTCCAAACGCGCCCGAGACCCGCCCCCGACCCGGCACTACTCACTGTTCTGAATTCCATAGATTTCATCTATCAGCCCCTCGTAGGTCAGCTGCGTGGCCAACGGTGTCAGCAGATCAACGTTGCGGTCCAGCAGCAGGAGGGTATCAAAGACGGGAAATATTGAGTTCTGGCTTCCAGGGAACTCGCGCTTCATCCTGATCATCATATTGGCCACGTGCTGAAAATAAATCACCTTGGTCTGGTTATGGTGCAGGCCACAACAGAGGGATTTGACTTCTAGGCCCTACAAGTACATGCTCATGCAAGGATGGGGCACAGTGTAAAGGAAGAGAATGGGAAGAGGTATGAACCAGCTGACAGATGGGGGCAGGACAAGACAAAAAAATAAAAAAAAAGATGGAAAAAAAAGAGTCCTCTGCTGCTTCTGCAGCTTCACTGGACAGTGACTGTGGCCAAAGCACTGGCTTCATCAAGCCACTCCCTCATTACAAAAAATACCAATTAAACTGTCAGTTGATCAGAAAGAACGAAAAAGGGTGAGTTACAGGGAGAGATGAAGAAGCAAATGCATGAGCAGTAGGTTACATATTTCCTGCTTTATTCAGCCCTTCTGATACCAACAGAGCAGTATTAAAACTCCGCTGAAAGAAGAACTGAAAACACAGTGTACCCGTGAGCAAAAAGCATATAAAATCAGGTAAATCCTCCCGACAGGAAGAGTTATGGACCAGCAAAGACTGTTCTTTTGGCCGAAGGTGACAAAGACCTGACGGCCCTGACCATGAAATTCCAATTATGACAAGAAGGGTCTGTGGCTGGATTCAAAAATCCCACACATGCATTTAACCAAACGCTCCTTCAGGCAGTTCCAGAGAACACGATGCATTTTTTCAGCAGCAACATTTGCCTCACCCGAGCACACTCGCCCTTTCCAAAAATCTGCGGGATGGTTCCGTAGAGAGCCTGCAGCGTCATCAGCCCCTTTGCCGCATGGTACAGGCTGGTCTGGTCACTCTCCAGGTAACATTCCTAAACAACGAGAGGATCCCCAAGGGAAGGTGTGGGTCCCACACACCTGCTTCCACGGAACGTGGTCTGTGTGAACAGCTTGGAGAAGACACAGGCTGGGGAAAAACTGTGGCTGTTGGCAAATACGTACCTCATCTGTGCTGTTACTGTGTCAGATCATCTGACCAAAGCAGACACTGTAATATTTCTGAACACCACACGCTACTCCCCGTTTGATGGAGAGGAGTAAATGCCAGAAAGTGGCTCTAATTAGGCCAATCTGAGCGCACAGCCCCCTGCCATGGCTGCCGAGAAGCAGCTGCAAGCCCTGGCACGTCCCCGAGCCATGCTTAATAAGGCAGAGATGGCCAGAAAAACTCTCCCAGCTTTCTGCGTCCAGACACGGTGCCCTGAGGAAACGGGATACGAGCTGGTATGTGACAGCTGTTAACTCCCAGCGCGGCTTAGCGTGGGGCATCAGCCATTGTACAGGGCTCTTCGGCCGCGTAAGGACACAGACTGTGCTGGCTCTTTGCAACCACTGAGGATTTTAAGCCTCGTGAATGCTTCATTTGTGAAAATAACACCAGCAGTTAAAGCTGGAAGAACCGGGGTGCAGCTCAGGGTAGTGGTTGTCCCGTCAGCGTTTACTCAGGACAACACAGAGGGGAGTCGAGGCTCAGGACTGAGCCACACTCGCTCTGCCAGAAAGCCTTGAGGGCCTCGGCACCAAACGCCAAGAGCCAGCGCAAAACCACGGCGTCTTCCCTGCGAGCCGAGCCGAGCCCTTACCTTGAAGGCGCTCTCGGACTCCATGGAGAGCAGGTCTCCGTCGAAGGGTATCAGGTCCAGGCTGTACTGCTCTCGGTGGATGAAGGACCCCAGCACGCCCTGCTCCTTCAGCCACTGCTCGCAGAGCAGGCTGCGGCGCGGCACGAAGAGGATGTGGAAGTCCCTCTGCGGAGAACGGCCTCTGTCTTCCCTGGAAGAGTCACGGGCAGGGGCACAGCAAACAGTAACTCGGCTGCGCAGGGCAGCGGCACGGGCTGCAGGCACCGAACTCCGAGGGCACCGGAGCGCCGCGCTCGGTTACTGCCGACTTCCCGCGGCGTTTCAGAGTATTTTTGACCCAGCTGTGCACACCCCCAGCCACAGCTCTGAAACCAGGGCACCGGGACTCGGTTTTCTTGCAGCTCTCAAAAGGAGGGTCAACCAAAGCGGGACTCATTCCAGCTAATGAGAAGGATCGTGCATCGTCTTAACAAGGAACACACCCTCTGCATCGCCAGCCGAAGTGGAAATACCGCCCCCCGCTCCCTTTCCAGGGCGACTCGACCCCGTCGGGCCGAACCGGCTCCCACAGGACACCCACGAGCGGCCCCCGCGCAGCC